TTGATGTCTAGAAATACCGCTAGGACAGAATCTGATGAGGAAAAAGAGTTAAAAATATAGGAGGAAAGGTACACCACATTATCATAAATGCCTTTACCCTTACGGAAGCCCAGTTGCTCATTAGAAAAAAAAAGTTGTCTTTCTAGAAACCAATCCAAGCGGTTTTTAATCATTATCTCTAGGGTTTTACATCCACAAGATGCTAATACAATGGGTCTGTAATTCTCGGGTAAAGAAGGATCCCTTTTTGGCTTAGGGAAGGCTACAATATTATATTTTTTCCATGCAGTAGGAATCATTGCGTTCCCCAACAAAAAACTGTTATAGCAATTGACCAAAATCTGCTTTGCCTTATACGGCAAATGTTTTAACATCGCATATGCTATATCGTCCATCCCTGTGGCCGACATATTTTTGAACTGAAGAGCAAACTCCAGTTCGCCTATGCTAAAGAGATTAATATTAGAATTTATGTTTGGAGACAACATTTGAAAAGTCGGATCAATATCAATTTTTACCATTTTTCCAAGAATGTCTTTTTTCAGATTATCATTAACCATGACTTCTCTAGCGTTATTATTAGATTTATTTGAAAATTTTTTAATTTTGTTCCAAACATAAGTTACATTAGATTCTCTATTTATTGAATGACAAAATATTATGAATTTTTCTTTCTTTTTACTATTTAATTTTCTTTTGGTCAATGCCACAACTCTTTTGACTTCAATGTAATTATTTAATGTTGGGTACCTATTAAAATAATTTATTGTGCTTTTTCTTTCCTCTATCCACTCTGTACATTCTTCGTCCCACCAAGGGTTCCCTGCAATTCCTGTAATTCCACATCTTTTTTTGGGAATGGATTCTTGAGCCGCTAAATCAGCGATATTGATAAGGTCATTATAATTCTGAATATTTTCATTCAAATTTAATTGTGTTGACATATTATCGTAAAAAAGTTGCCAATCGGCTTTTTTAAAATTCCTGAGATAATAGGAGCTTTTGAAAGAATTTTTCCAGGAGGAGCTGTTTGATTGATAGAGCAGGGATGTGGGGTAGTGGTCACTATTTCCACAATCATTGATACGCTTCCATGAGGATTTGAGAGCTAATTGACTGCTGACAATTGTCAAATCTACTGCACTTATTTTGTTATTCGTTTTTTGTATCAAGGTATTTATTCCGTCATTCATAATTATCAGGTCGTTCTTCAAAATAAAATCATTAATAACATGCCCTCCTTTATTAGCAGGAGAATTGTCCCATAGTGGGTGGTGAGAATTGAGATCTCCCATAATAATTATTTTCTGATCTGCAATGTCTTCAATCATGGAGTCCAAAAAATTCACCTCAAACGACAAATGAGTATTACAGTAAATGTTAATTAGATTTAAATCACCTATCTTAATATTTATATATTGAATAGAGTCAGATAAAAATTTCTTGTTTATAGTATAAATTATGTTATTCCTAACACAAGTAGCCACTCCGCCATATCCATCAGGCCTGTCTTGTCTAATAATATTAAATGCCTTTAAAGTAAGTTTTTGATTGTTTTTCAACCAAGTTTCATTAAGAAATATTATATCTGGCATTTCTTCGCCTATCAGGTTGACCAAATTATCTCTATTTGCATACACGCTTCGAATATTCCACTGAATTATTTTTAAATTGGTTTTATAAACCATTTTAGCAAATTTATTATAAAATTTCAATACAAAAGGTCCCTGATTAGGTCATTCTATTACCGGTTAATCTGAATCCGTACCTCGATCCAAGTCCATATAGTAACCCGGATCTGCAGAGTTCAGAATATTTCTACAAATGTTTTTATTGAAGTTTGTAGTAGTCTTTAGAAAATTTAAGATAAAATTCATATCATAATTAGAAGGTTGTGATGTCTGTGAAAATGCACTAGTTGAAGGCTTGTTTGTGAAATTTCTATCTTTGGAATTTTGTGATTCAGTTACATTAAAGGTTGCGGAATTTTTCCCTTGTCTTGAATTTGGGAATAAAAGCATTTCATCATGTGCTTTACGATCATAACCTCGTTCATTACTTTTTTGGATTAATCTTTTTTTATTTGGGTCTGCAGACACCGTTTGTTGAAAAGATCTCTTTATTGGACCATTTTTAAAAGATTGTGATCGCCGCTGAGATGGTTCTATTATTGAATTTGAAAGTTTTTGAGAAAAATTTAAATTCGAGTTGTTATTTTTAATGACAGGGAAATCGCTTGGATTATAAATAAAATCACCTTTAGTAATATATGTTTTTCTGCATTTTTCGTTAGCTTCGAAAAAAGTTAGGTTCTCAAAAGCCATCAGTTCTTTAATATTTTTTTGACGGGTGTATTCAGGACATTGTTTGAAGGTTGATTTATGCGCCTCTTTGCAGAAGAAGCAACATGTTTCGCATGTTTCTTCCCTACTGTCTTCCGAATGTTTCTCACCTGAACAGTTAAAACACTTTTCTTTCCCTTTACAATTATTTCTAGTATGCCCATAACGTAAACACCGAAAACATTGGGTGACGGGTGGAACATAAATTGTTATTGGAAATTCTAAATAATATAATTTTATTTCTCTTGGGATTCTTACCCCCTGAAAAGTGAATAAAACAGTTCCCGTTGGTTCATATACGATACTATTATCTTTATTAACTATTCTTCTATTTAGCCTTCTAACATTTAAAATTTTTATATTATTATTAGCGTGAGCTGATTTTAGAATTTCTTCTTCAGAAATGTCAGTGTCAACTCTCCTGGCAATTCCCTTAGAAGTGACAAAATTATAAGGAATGTAAATATTATATCCTTTATCTAAAAGTTTTTTATTGTTCGTAAATGCATTAGCTGCGTTCAAGGTTACAAATTGAATAGAAATTCTATTTAAACCTTTATTGGCAATTTTAACTACATCAGTTAAATTTAAGTTAAAAATATCTCTAGCAATTTTGATATTATTAGATTTACCTATGTTAAAGCCTACCTTATCAGTTGATTCAAGATAAACAAAAAAAGGGCCTTTGTCCCCAGGCATGTAAAGAATCCTGTTTTTATGTTGTCCGTCCTCGTCTATCTTATTAATTTTAGCATTTGTGCTTTCACAAGATTTTTCTAAATTTTCATATTCAGGGAATTCTCGATCCCCCATGATACTGTCTAGGGGGGGTTCGCCCCCCCCAGAGTCACCCATTTTATTAAACCCCCCTAAGGATAGTTAATTTTAAAACTACAAGCCAAATACAATAAATGAAGCAATTTTAACGGAAATTTGTTAAATTGTAATGTTCCACTTACCCACCAGTTCAAATGGAACCCCTAAACTTATCACAACGCGTGTTAGTCAGGAAAAAAAAAAACCCGTAAACTCTCAGATTGACGTAAGCCAAAATCAAAATCGACGTCTTTGGTGAACGGTCAAGCAGCGAGTGCCTGCGGGGGTTACAAAACGGTTAGAGAAATGACATATCGTTTTCAAAGTGACGCGTTGGATACCTATCACTCGAATTTAAGCGGTATATTGCGGTTTGTTAAACCGGAGCCACGTGAAAAATGTTTAGGTATCTTTTGCCACCAACTTCACATCGGTAGCGAAAGAATAATAGTTATTTATGATATAAGTGCTAAAAGTGACATTTTATTTTGTGAAAAGGGAAGTTTGGGACACGACGCCGAAGGCGGAGTGTTCCATCCCTTTGAACAAAATAAAATCACTTTTAGCACGAATATCATACACTATTTTTTCTACAAACACTGTTTAAAAGTCCAAATTAACGCATCCTTGAAATCCTCAATTTCAAATCTTTCATCTAATTTATTTATGAAATACCTAGGTTGCTGGCAAGAAAAAAAAACGAATTTGTTTATTTTTATTTGTCATCTCTGTTTGTCATTGTTGATTAATAACGTCAAATAATCACGAATTTTTTGCTTACGGTTTCTGCACAATTTTTGGTTTTTGCGTGGTTTCATCCAGTTTCATTGTAGTTTATTTTCTGGGCGATGGAAAGTGATCAAGACAATGAATTTCTCCCGGCGGAAATTGAAGAAGCTGCCAATAAAGCTACTTTCGAATTATTGCCTAGCAAGTCAAAGCAACAGTACGAGTTTTCATACAAAAGAACATTGCGGATCAAATTCTGCCCAAAAGTTCGGAGAATAACATTGCTCTTTACTCTCCTGGTACAAGTTTTACCAAAATAAATTCAGTATTTGCTACCAATGAGATTGGCCATGGAGTTTCTTATTCTAATTGCAGTTTCGCTAATTTTAATTTAATTAAATAAATATTTTACTTTGATATAAAATTTCCTATGTTTTTATATTTTCTGATCAGTGCTAGAAGTGATTACTTTTAGCACTAGTGCGGAAAAGACACTTTGCGCACGTGTTAGGAACAAAATTTTTCCTACGAGCTTCATATCAAGTAGGTAACAACAAAAATTTAAAAAAAAAAACGATAATTTGTTCAATTATTTTTAATTAACTTGGAGCGAACCTACGCATTTATCAAACAATTACGTAACAAAAAAAATAATAATAAAAAATCCTCGTCAGAGCTGTTCATCTTAAAGCGTTTAAATTTGATGAGAAAGTTTGTAGATTCTTGCATATAAATAGAGAACAAATCTGACAATGTGTCAAAGTTAATTATATTCGGTGTTCGTATAGATGTAGGCTGCTAAAGAAACAGAGAAAAACTTGTCATCATGTGTCAAAGTCGACAGGTAAGTACACTTATTGTTGCTTGACAATTATTTTTACTTTTCGGCACTCAGTGCGGATAAGGCCTGTATCCGCACTGAGTGCGGAAAAGTGTAACTTTGAGTACCGAAATGCGTGCGGAAAAGTACTACTTTGCGCACGCTCGTAGGAAATAGTTATTATCCTAACTAGTGCGGAAAGTTATACTTTCCCGCACGCGAACTGCCGATTTTATTTTAAATAACAATCTAAAAAAAAACCTATTTATTATTAATATGGAAAAAGTACCTACAGTTCGTTTCATTAACTTTGATAACATTTCAATCAGATAACCATAGTGTCACGGCTCTGGCTTACGGGACAGAAATCTTGGGTTCGTTGTTCGTTTGTTCCAAAATCAAGGTCTAATTAACAAAGCAATAATTTTATTCCACGTAACTATACACTTTGACACTAATTACTAACTCAACAACTAAACTCTTTACAACTCTTAAGAATAATCACCATCTAACTCATATCACAGCCAAACTTAAACTTCTAAATACCAACGGCAAACTTTGCCAACGGCCTTTATAGTATAGTAAGCCGTAAATCCATTAATGTACAATCTAGAATACACGCGTTAACTCTCCTTTTCTTGATTAAAGTAGAATAATTCACAAAATTCTAGGATATTCGACAACCTGGCAGATGCGTTACAGTATTCTGGATACCGTGGTGAAAGCGAACTTCTATGACATGATAGCGAACGCAACAAAGCAACCCTTTAACCACGCGACTTATAGTCCAGGAGGTGGCGCCAAAAACATGCAAGAGTTTTCGCAAGGCGGATATTTTCAAAATAGGTCATACTTTAGTGTTAGAATGCTAGTGTACAGTCAGCACTCACAGTTCCGGGACAGCTGGCTCTGGGACGCGGGCAAAGTTTTAATTTTAAGAAGCATCTAAACTGTTTTCTCAAAGCTCAAAACTTATAGAAATTTTGCACATTATCTGTTTTAAGGTCACAGATAACGTATGTAAATCATCAGACGTCTAGTTCGTTGCAAAAAGGGGGTCAGACGTCCTCAAAGTTTTTATTTTATGGCATTTTCTTCAAATATATTTGTCAAATACCTGCAAAAATATATTTTGACAGGACACCGAAGAAAATGCCATAAAATAAAAACTTTGAGGCCGTCTGACCCCCTTTTTGCAACGAACTAGACGTCTGACGATTTACATACGTTATCTGTGACCTTCAAACAGATAATGTGCAAAATTTCTATAAATTTTGAGCTTTGAGAAAACAGTTTAGATGCTTCTTAAAATTACAACTTTGCCCGCGTCCCAGAGCCAGCTGTCCCGGAACTGTGAGTGCTGACTGTACACTAGCATTCTAACACTAAAGTACGACCTATTTTGAAAATATCCGCCTTGCGAAAACTCTTGCATGTTTTTGACGCCAGCTCCCCGACTATTAGGCAGTGCGGGAAAAATTTTCACCCGCACGCCGTGCGGGAAAAAAAATTTCCCGCACCGTGCGGGAAAAAGATAGTTTCCGAATTAAAATACGTGCGGAAAAGTGGACAAAAACGCACGCTTGTAGAAAAAAAATACACCTACCTGTCGAGATGATATTTTCATACACAAACAAATTGCAAGGAAAAGCAGAATAAAATGTAACACGACACATCAAATGCTCAACTTACAAGAGGTAAAAACGTAAACACAGAAATTGTTAGAAGATTCCTCTGGTCGTTTAGCTTTAGCAGAGGCCACAGAACAGAAATGAAAAAGGCGCGCGACGAAATGATGAAAATCAAAAGATGTAATTTTCACATACAAGAACAACCTTGTGGGGGGGCAGTGTTGCCAGTATTTTGTATTCTGCTTGTCGCTAAATTGTCCGCCAGAAATTGCCCAAATAGCCCACATGAATGATAGAGGGATATTCAAAAATTTCAAGTAATAAACAAATTGTTTGTTTCCCAACACAATAAAAACTTATTACATAATTTGTTTTTTATAAAAAAAAAATCTATGTTCCAAATTGTATTAAATAAAAAAATTAATCAAATTGATTGAGTTAGGATCTTGAAACTTACGTTGGGTATTTTGATCTGAATTCCCCGAGCTTGGATTTATCGTTCTGTTATTTAAAAAGTGTGCTCGGTGCAGGCTCATTCGCGTTCGTTTATTGAGATTTCGAGCACTCTGCCAAGGATTATATACACTACTACTACAGGATAGCCTATTCTCATAACGCCTGTGTGGAACAAATTTGAAGCCTCCAGTCTCACCACGCCAAATCACCAGTTGTGACGTAGACACTAGGCAGCATTATCGTTTCTCGCATGTTTCTCGCCTTCATGTAGGCTATTTGAACCACAACGATTCCGCGGGCTTTTGCTTTATGCATACTTGGTTTTACTACATTAATTGAAATTCTAAAACAACTCCTTTTTTAGATCTCGATTTCATCTTTCTCTTTGCCTATTATGTTAACTAAGATTAAATAATAATTCTCTTGATTAATTTATTTAAATTCCAAAACTACGACCGCTAGTGCAAACAGCTGATGACTTATTTAATGACGTCGGAAATGGTGACACATCAAAATAGCGGCGATTACCAGAAACGAGGCCGATAAGCAATCCTTAGTAGTGTCTATTATCCTTGCATTTCTCTGTGCGCTCGCTATTCCTAGTCACGTGATTACGACTCCACTTCAGCACGCTCTGCTCTTTGAGCAAAATACCGAATTGCCGAACGCATAGGAGAACTACAGTAATGAGAGATCGCCCAAATCGCCAAAATTACTTCTTTTCAGCGCCCGAATAATCGCCCACCGGCAATCATCAATTTAGAGCGCCATTTCAGTGATTTACATCGCCCAATTGGCGCTAAGTCGCCCATACTGGCAACACTGGATTGAGCTGTCACGCCCGAATTGTTAAAGCTGCGAAATTCGCATTTTTTTGACATTGCTTCGACAATTTGACGTTTGATACACGTATAAAACGTCAAATTGTAAACGCAATGTCAAAAAAATGCGAATTTCGCAGTTGTGAGTACTAGGCTTAATGCTATCGCTACACCAACAACAATTGACAAGTCACAGTTGACAGTTATCGAATTGAATATACTTTTTTCTACGAGTGTGCGCAAAGTAACTACTTTGCGCACACTTTTGTGTACGCAAAGAAGCCCTTTCCCAAAAGTGTGCGCAAAGTAACTACTTTGCGCACGCTATGCGGGAAAAAGTTTTTCCCGCACACTTTTTTTACTGGTACCTATAATAAAATCTGTGGACCCCCTATTTGGAGGGCAAAGCCCTCCGAGAGCCGCATATTAGGGGACGGAATCCCGCGGGAGCCCTATATTTGGCTGCGAGGGCCCCATATTTGGGGGACGGCGCCCCGCGGAAGCCCCTTTTTTGGGGGGCACAGCCTTGCGGGCCCCCTTTTTTAAGGGACAAAGCCCCGCGGAGAGATGCCGAATTTTTTTTGGCCGATTTAGATATACCTATTTAGTTACAACAAATTGTTTTTGATGCCTATAGAAATTAAAAATTTAAAAAGGAAGTATAGTTATTTCACTCGTAAAAAAAATATTGTTCCTAACACGTGCGCAAAGTAGTTTTCCCGCACTTAAAGATTATCCGAACTCCGCTTCGCGTCGTTCGTCTACAGGGTTGCCAGACGTTCCACCTTAGGAGGGACAGTCTCGCATTTTGTTGATCGGTCCCGCCTTTTTTTAAATAATTGCAGGACCCGCTTTCACGTGAATTGTCCCGGTTTTCCCGCTTTTTCCACCCAATCTCCACATTTAGTGCAAAGAACACGCTCATTTTACAACTTGTTACATAAATAGCTATTTTTTCATTCAAAATCGACGCAAAAATCAAATAACGAGCCTGAATCGCAAGCATTTCATCAAGGTCTGCAGGTGAGGTCACCACTATTAGCTGCTAACGTGGTGACGTCAATCGCAGACCTTGTGGACTCGAGAACCGGCGAACGTACGCCTTCTCGGGATGAGCAATCCTGTTAGTTTACGATTCTTGGGTTTTAACAATTTTAATAATAAATGTTGTATGTTATAGGTATAAAAATGTCAAAAATTGCAACAAAATCCAAATCAGTGTTGCCGTTGACTGGGTAATTCCCCAAAAACCGGGTATTTTCGACTAGTGTTCGGGTAAAATATTGATGTGGATAAAACTGGGGAATCCGGAATTACAGTCCTATTCTTTTTTTATTTTCAACAATCTCAACTAATATTTTCCACATTGGCCGCGTTCACCAGATACAAACGTTGGTAAACGCTTTATTGCGATTGTTCTGCTCAACGCTACGTTGAATTTGGGTTGAAACCAAACATGTTTTACAAACGGTCGCCATTTTTGCAAACATAAATAAGAGTGTTTATTATTTTCAACCTCAGAACACTACATAAATAGAGAGTGCAAGTCATAGGATGCATTCGCGATTATGGTCGAGCTTGCTTTGGCAATATTTGCATCCTTCTTTATCTGGTTATCTTAACAAAGATAAAACGATTTAGGTGGGCGTTCTAGACGAATACAACCAGGTTTCGAGATTTTAGGCAGCAAAATTGTAATTTTTGACATAAATTGTTGAATTTAAAAACTTGCTCCACATTGCGCTTTCTCTTGATGAGTAAATTACCTATCCTTGTTTTGCTGTCAAGGACAGCATTGCATCGGTGAAAATGCGCATAAAGTCTGTTTTTTTTTTAAAGATAATTCCCCAAGTCAAAAATTTAGTAACTATGTTGGCAACATAAGCCTTTTCTACATAAAAAATTTGAAGCATTGACAATTTTACATTGTAAAATCTGTTTTTTTTTTTAAAGATAAAAGTCAAAATGACATTATGTTGGCATTACAACGTGAAAATATCAATGCTTTCAAATTTTTTTATGTAGAAAAGGCTTGTGTTGCCAACATAATTACTAAATTTTTGACTTGGGGAATTATCTTTAAAAAAAAAACAGACTTTATTGCCAACATAATGTCATATTGACTTTTATCTCTAAAAAAAAACAGATTTTATGTCATTAATGATTTTAAAAACGTACCCCGTGCCCTAACCTAGCTTAATGATTTGAGGATTTTGTTTTCAGTGTCCGGGTAAAATTGGGTATTTTATGAGATTGGAAAGGGTAATGAGAATTCTCGCTCCGGCAACACTGATCCAAATCTATCTTCCATTGCACAAACTAGCATCTGCAAACATTTTTTTTTTCTGGCCATTGAAAAATAAACAGGTTTCGTCAAAAATCACTTGCCTCTCCCCCCTAATGCTTTTGGGCGTGGCACCCGAAAAAATGTTTCGCTTGCGGCGAGCTTTCCCCCTGGGTCCTTATTCTTGAAACAGGGGAGCGGCGTTGCCAGGAGAAAGAGTATTCCGTCTTTGTTACATACAGTGAGGACATAAAGTCCGTCGCCCCCCCTCTAACTTTTGAATCGCTCGGTATATTGCAACGAAATTTAGAATGATGATATGTGACTAGATTCTCCATTTTTTGGAAAACAAATGACAGCTTCAGCTGTCAAAATGACAGGTAGGCGCAGTTTTGAAACGTTTTTTTAAATAAAAGGCGGTGTCGAGTGATATATCGTTTTGAAGGTCTCTTTATTCTAAATTTAATCCCCGATTCTGAAAACATTTGGTTTAGCGGTTTTCAAATGATGACGAAAAAACAAAGGCTTGTTTTGCCCATAAACACTCGTAAAAAAAAATTTAAAAAAAAATATCGGTTTTTTAATCATTATTTAAGTTACCAATGTCATGACGTCATTAATATTATTGAAAAAAAAACAATAAGGAATAAAAAAAGCGATAAAAAATTTTTAATTTTTTTTTTTTCATGAGTGTTTATGAGCAAAACAAGCCTTTGTTTTTTTTGTCATCATTTGAAAGCCGCTAAACCAAATGTTTTCAGAATCGGGGATTAAATTAAGAATAAAGAAACCTTTAAAACGATATATCATTCGACACCGCCTTCTATTTAAAAAAACGTTCCAAAACTGTACCTAGCTGTCATTTTGACAGCTGAAGCTGTCATTTGTTTTTCAAAACATCGAGAATCTGGTCACATATCATCATTCAAAATTTCGTTGCAATATACCAAGTGGTTCAAAAGTTAGAGGGGGGGCGACGGACTTTATGTCCTCACTGTATATTATTATTTGCATATCATTGAGAAAGACGGAACACTCGTTCTCCTGGGAATGTTGCTCCCCGGTTTCAAGAATAAGGACCCTGGATCACATCAGTCCCGCTTTTTCATTTCATAGATCTGGCAACCCTGTTCGTCTAACTGCTTTCGCGTGCGGGAAAACATAACTTTGCGCACTGATTAGGAAAACTACTATATTCGTTTAGGATCGATCTGAACTGAACTGCCATGCGAATTGGATACGACTGATCAGCGTTATAGTTAATAGTACATCTTTGATATGAGGTTTTGTCTTTAAAAAAAACAGACTTTAGTTCCAAACTTGTTCGGAATCGGTTTCGGATGTAATAATATGTAATGTGATCCGTGAACAAAGATGTTTTTCGACCCAATAGGTATGTTATCGAACGCGCTAGACGCTTATGCATGTCAATCGGAGCCTTTATAGCTGGGTTCGGCTCACTCCGAATGACTCCGTTCGCAGTCCAGCCGTTATCTGATTCGTTAAAAGGCAATACCCGAACGGCTGGAGTCACTCGGCGTGCACGGAGTGTGCAAGCCCAACCCATCTGCTGCACTATTTCGGACTCGGAGTCCGTCATCCGTCACTCCTCCTCAACCAGCTGATTTGTTTTGTTGTGTTTGTAAATTGCAGTTTTACATAAAAATAACTACTTATTTATTTTTTATTTTTATTTTTTTATAATTCTTATCAGTTTCAGTTAGAATCATGCTTTTACAATGATTATACAGTATGACTGTATGACATCACCCTTTTTCGTCAGTATGGACTATGGAATGTATTTGTAATGTGTGATTTTTCTAATTTTCAGTGTTTCACATTCTTGCTTAATTGAGACCCTACAAATTTGATGCTCTGAAGTTTCGGTAGTTTATTTCAAATGAAATGCTAGCTGCTGCCTGTTGCTACTGCTTAATAATTTGTTATGTAAATTGTAAGTATGCAATTTTTTGTTCTACTCTGTCTGCACACTGGTGCACACATGAATTCTATATTGAGATCCAAAAAAATTGGGATTAGGGTTTCTCTCGGGGCTTCCAATCCGAGATCGCAAAATACCGGGATCCCGGAAGATTTTTCATCCCGAAAATCCTGGGATGAAAAATCGGAATCCCAAAGTCCCGATTTTTTTAAATGATCGAATTTCAAAATTTGCTTTATTTCTTTTTTCTTTACATGCGTGCTATCTCGCTTTATCTCGGTAATTTATGTATGTAATAGTAATAGGTTCAGCGTTGCTACCTTTTTTTTTCGCGAATCTACTAGCTTCTTCGTCTGAATCTACTAAAAATCTACTGAAACAATTTTGAAAAATGCCAAAAATCTACTCTCAATCTATAGGTTTGTTCAAACTCGTCAAAAACCCGTCCCAGAACAGTTCCGGAACCACTCTGTATACGAATTTCGGTTTCTACGCAAAAACTTTGGGTTTTGCGCAGAAACCTGAGTCCTGACGGTAATATTACGGTTTCCTGCTGGGTTGGAGCAAAGCTAATATCTCATATATTTTGTATTGTATACATATGAAAAATGTACGTAATTTATTTAATAAGAAAGTTGGAAAATATAGGGGGGTTGGGAGTAGCTACAGTCGTAGTCTGTCAAAGCCATTTTAATTTCTGATGAGACTGTCTTTCTGTCTTGCTCTTTCCAGCGTCAAAAAAAAAGATGACAATATATCAACGCTGTACGGGTTCTACAGACAAAAAACGATATTAAGGAATAAAGTCCAAAACAAGACATATGAATCGTCGGCCATTAAGGGGAAACACCGAAAACCGAAACGCGTCGTGAATCAAGCCATTCAGAACGAAGTAACTTATTTCAAAGTGAAAACTACCAGAATCTACTAAATTTTCTACTAGAAATTCTGTCTACTAAAATTTAACAAAAAAAGTTGAAAATCTACCAGAAAAGTAGAAATTAGAAATCTACCAAAGGTGGCAACGCTGAATAGGTTACAATAGACGTGGGAAGTGGGAATCACCTACCGCCGGACGGGGATTCCTTAATTCGTGTATGGCGCGACGCTCAGTATTTACTTCTCTACCGATGTTTGTTAGTCTTGTGACTTGTCTTGTGACTTCTGACTTGTGAAAGTTGTGAGTAGAAGATTAATAAACAGTAAAGTCTGTTTTTTTTTTTTTTTAAATAATTCCCCAAGTCAAAAATTTAGTAACTATGTTGGCAGCACAAGCCTTTTCTACATAAAAAATTTGAAAGCATTTGCCAGCGTAAAAATACATTTTGAAATATGTAATACACTAATAAGTTTTTTTTGTTGATTTTCTTAAAAGTTTTTTTTTTTTAAATCCGATACCAGCAGCAAGTGAGTTCAGTGACGCATTTTAAGCACTTCAGGGCTGCTCTAGACAATGTTGCCAGAGAGCAAACATTTTTTATACCAGAATTAAACAGAAATTGTACCAGAGCGGGTTATCCGGCCGCTCGGCCAGGGAGGACACGCTGATTCCTTCAGTGTAGCGCGTGTGCGGCCCAGAACATCTAAGGGCATCACAGACCTGTAATATTCATAATAGGCATTAAAATCAGTTGACAATGAACGAACTGATAATATAACTCCGGCCCTTCGGACTCGTAAAGTAATTAAAACAACACCGGCCATTCAGGCTGGAGATTTGAAAAAAACATATGGCAATACTGCTTATGATACAACAAACTTTAAAAAATTGACGTTTCAAAGTAGGCCTTGTTTTCTTTAAAACTCGATACAAAATGGCGTTTCTTTGTTGCCCTGTAGGCTCAAGATTGAAAACACTCTCGCCCTTCGGGCTCATGATAAAAAAAAAAACGCCATTTCAATCCTCTAGAGTTACAGTGTTGCCAAAAGTTAAAAATTTCGATCATCCTACAACATCATAACAATCGTTTCTTGATGTCAATTGCCACTTGTCAACGTTTTACATTTAAAATTACCAATTACCATTAAAATGTGGCAACGTTGCTGTTGTAGTAGGCCTCAATCTGAATCACAAGGTTGTCAATTGACAAAAAAAGTCATAACAATCATAGGTGGTCCTGAAAATTAACTCGTCAATTGTCAAAAGTCATAATATTGTATGTAGGCTTATTAGTTGTCAAAAAAAAATTGAGCAATTATTCCAAGTGTTTGAACCGGGAACCGGGAACAATCGGAAATTTACTCTGATGATAGTTTGGCTCGACCAACTGATCATTTAAATTGTTTCCTACTTTATCTCGCTCTTTATCTTACTCATTTATAATCGCTTTTGATTGTTTACTAATGTATTCTACCTTATCTTTCTCACTAAACTCTGGAAAAACATTATGTTTGAGATTGTAATTATGGCAACATCTCTTTTGATCAAGTAGGTCTTGTAATGCAATGTCATTTGGCATTTTAGACAGTCGGCCATTTTCGAGTGTTTTTATCCAGTTTCTCCTCGAATTTTCTACTTTTTCAGGCCGGTTTCGATTGCTAAAACTGTTAATTATATGCGAGCCCGAAGGGCCGAAGTTATACGCGAGCCCGAAGGGCCGGAGTTATTTTAATCACGGGGCCCAGTTTATAATTCTATTGGTCAGCCAATCAAAAACCGGGAATATTCAAAATGCTATTTTTAGCGCCCAATCAAAGAGCCAAAAACTTTAGTTTTATCAAGTTGACTTTGGGATGTTGGTTTTCTATTGGGTTTTCTTAAGGTTTTTACTTTTTTCAGAAAACGGTGATTTTTGCAAACATACTATTTTATCGTTGTCTTTATCTTACCCACTATAATCAACAAGTAAACCTTATAATGTCATTTTCATTGAAATTAAACTAAAAACGTGAATGAGCCTGCATGGGCCAAGGTCTATAAGTACGATGTGGTTAGAGCACATGTTCACTATTTTTCAATTGTAATAAAAAGTGGTGGTTCTAGTTCCACAAAACACGTATTAAACGTTAAAACAGCTAGAAACCCTTAATTTTTTCTAATAAATCGAAAACAAAAAAACGAAATTAGCGAGGCTAGCAAAACGACCCCTTGCGGCGAGAGTAGCGCTTGTGACGTCACGTTGCGAAATTATTTACGATATAATATTTGCCTACAATGTATTTGTCTCTCTTCCGCTCATTGTAGAAAGTATTTGGACAATTAATAGAGTCAGGGTGCTTCCTAACATTCCATCACCAATTAGTTCATCAGTATCTTTATCTAAATGCATATGAAAGAAAAAGACACTTATAGTAATGATAATATTAATATTTTTTATTGCCAACAAAAATCGCAGAAGCAACGTCACAAAAGGCTGATCCAAGTAGAAAGTAGCGCCACTGTACTTGCGCGCGCTAACTCGTTACACATTATGACGTCAGCGAGCGTTTCTTGCTTTTAAACGAATATTGATATTTAGTTTCCGTTTTTCTCATAGAAAGAATTTTCTGATTTTCGTAAAATTTTGTAAATTTACTTAAGAAACGATGCTTAATAATTTGATGATTGTTAAACGGGATTTTTTTATTTTGTGAACATCCCTATTATACTAGTTCGTTCATGTACTGCACATCCCTAGTTTTTATGTAATGTGAATTAGTTTGTTTATAATTAAATTAATAATTAATTAAAAATGAATTTCTTTTTCCGAGATGCGTAACCTATCCACAAACCTTCCTTGGTATGGCCATAACAACCTACCAAAGTTTCATCGTAATCGGATAAGTGGTGTAGGAGCGCATAAATCGGAAACCCAGCAAACATTGATTTTTATATACAGTGTGATTTTTTAAGTGTGCAACATATGGGGATTTTTTTTAGTAATAGCACAACCCAAAAACAAACAAGGCCAAAAGTTGTTGCATGTCTGATAATCATATTAGGTGCACTTAGAATGGTTGCAAGTCAAACAGCATACAGGGTAGCTCAAACAATATCAAAGCTGTACTGTAAAGTACCCTCATTTTAGAAAATTCAGCAAAATGTTATAGAGAAAAGTTGTTTGGAATTAAAAGTTAAGCCTAAATACCAAAACATAGCCTCCTAAGATTTTTTTTATTTTCTTTCGAAAAAAATCTATAATTTCTATATTTTTTTTATTTTTTATTTCCGCCCTTAATACTTTCAAAAATTAATTAAAATCAAATCAATTTTACATAACTTTATTCAAATTCAAGCATATTTGTAAAATTAGCCATATTAAAAAAAATCTCCTTAAAGTGTAACAGCTGTATGCAACATCCTCTTTTAACTTAAAAGCGCTTTTTAAAACTGGTCACTTTTAAAAATGTGTATTCTAAGCCATGCAAAATTTTAAAGGTACCAGTTTTAAAAAGCGCTTTTAAGTTAAAAGAGGATGTTGCATACAGCTGTAAAAGTTTTATTTAATTTTAGTAAATATTAGTAGAATTTTGATATTTTTTGAGCTACCCTGTATGCTGTTCGACTTGCAACCAGGGATCGATCGATACGTTTTTTTTTTAAAAAAGCCGATATTGCCGATACCGATACGATATGGATTTATAGAAGGCCGATACCGATATAAGGCCGATATATATTTATCTGTTTTATCCAACCTTTTCCTTTGGTTTGAATGTTTTATTTGTTTTCTCGCAGCTTTTCCTCTAGTTTGAATGATTTATTTATTTGTTTTCTCCTAGTTTTAATTAGTTCGAGTTCAGATAAGCAGAAAGTTTAGTTTTTTTTTTAATAAATAAATAATTTTGAATTTGAGTTTAGATAAGCAGAATGGTAAGTTTTTTTAAAAAATAAAAACCTAATTAATTTAAAATAAATTTATGATAAACAATTTCTAATATTGACTTTTTTCTTAGTCACTCCCATATGTACCAACCACAATTATTAGCTCTTTTAAGCTTCAAAAAAGCCTTAGTAATGATTACTGATCTTCAAAATATGATTTGTATCGGTCTAAAGTTATTGGCCAATGAAGGGCCGATATGCCGATACACCG